GGTCTCAACGTGACATATCAATTTTTGGTCGAACTTTCCTTACAAAAATGGAATGTCTCTCAAGATTATCTATCCAGCTTATTCCATATCCCTTCCTAAACATGCAATTAAAGCTATAAATCAAATTAACTTCAACTTTATCTGGAAAGACAAGACACACTACATTAGGAAAGGAGCAATGGTTAAAGAGTATAATGATGGAGGTCTTAAAGCAATAGACTTTGATTTTAGACGGAATGATTAAAATGAATTGGCTTCCTCAGCCTCTGATCATAATGTCATGCAACCTACTCCTAAACCATGTCCAGGTAAAACTTCCCTCTCTGTTACTCAACGGTCAGTCTGTTATTGATAAAAAGCTGACAAACAATGTCATACGTAGTTTGTTTGTCAAGGAATTTCATCCCGATACATCCCACAGAAACCTTATGTCCAAGCATTTTCCAAAAGAGAAAGTGGGAAAACTGTGGAATAAATATCTACAGTTTCCTGTTGCTCCAAAGGTTAAAGAAGTCCATTTCATAATAATCACTGACATTTATCCTTCCAAGCAATTTCTGAGGCTCCATTTTGGTTTTTGAAGAAAAGGATTGCACCTTCTGTGAATGTGAAATTGAGACTGTTGGTCACCTCTTTTACGATTGTATGTACATGAAAGTTTTCTGGGAAGATTTCTGCTTCTGGTGTTCATCTAAATTTGATTCTCCTTCTCATCTGGACAAAGAGAATGTTTTGTTTGTAATAGAAATGACAGATAACCTGCAGGTCCTAGCCTTTAATATGTTACTCATGATGGGGGAATTTTACATTCACAAAAACAAATACATGAGGACCAAGCCAAACTTCAACGTTATTCTTAAAGAACTTTGTTTGTATTTTCAGTCTTAAATTTATATTTATGAAGAAGAAAAATGGTATAAAATTATACACTTTTGTAAATGACCATAAACTCAATGTAAACCCCTAGCTATTATTATTTTATGTTTATTTTATTTATTTGTTTATTTATTTATATGTTTGTTACCCTTGTTTTATTTTTATTTATTTTTTACATTCTATGTCTCATTTTTTTACAGTCATAATGTCACCAACTGCTGTGTATCTGTGTTTTATGTTTGAATTACTCTGTATTGTTACACGGAATTAGACTTAGACTTCTTTATTTGTCATTTTGTATGCACAGGGTGCATACAGAACGAAATTGCGTTACATACAGCTTATGAACGTTGCATTGATATTTCAAATGGCACGAGTTATAGAAAAATACAAAAAGTGCAGCAGTGGTCAAAGTGTGAACAGTGCAGAGGATAAGAGACAGTGTGCAAGTTGCAGTGGTTCAGTGCAAAATGGCATTTGTGCAAAAAATGCGTTATTGAAAAATACAATGAGATGAACAATTTAAAGGGCTAAAAGTTAAAAGTTCAGCAGCATTTGATGCCCGATAATGTGCAATAGGTGCAGAGTTCGGGTTGTGGATCAAAGGTTCAACAGTCTGATGGCAGTGGGGAAGAAGCTGTTGCACAACCTGGTGGATCTGCAGCGGATGCTGCGGAACCTCTTTCCAGAGGGCAGCAGGGAGAACAGTCCATGGTGGGGGTGTGAGGGGTCTTTGATGATATTACGGGCTCGGGACACACAGCGCTGTGATGAAATGTCCTTAATGGAGGGAAGAGGAGCCCCAATGATTCCTTCCGCTGTCCTCACCACCCTCCTCACATTCTTCCAGTCAGAAGCTCTGCAGCCTCCACACCACAGAGAGAGACAGCTGGTCAGAATGCTCTCTATGGTGCTTCTGTAGAAGGTTGTGAGGATGGGCGGGGGCAGGCGGGCTCTCCTCATCCTCCGCAGAAAGTACAAGCGCTTCTGTGCCCTCTTCACTAGAGATGAAGTGTTTACAGTCCAGGTGAGGTTGTCCGTGATGTGCACCCCCAGGAACTTTGTGCTGCTGACCACCTCCACAGCTGAGCTGTTGATGAGCAGTGGAGCATGGTGGGGGCGGTTTTTCCTGAAGTCGACGATGATCTCCTTCGTCTTCTCCACGTTCAGGATCAGACTGTTTTCACTGCACCAGCCCACCAGCTGCTCCACCTCCTCTCTGTAGTCCCGGTCGTTGTCGTCCCTGATGAGGCCCACCACCGTGGTGTCGTCCGCAAACTTCACGATGTGATTGGTGGTGAACCTGGGGACGCAGTCATATGTCATCAGGGTGAACAGCAGGGGGCTCAGGACGCAGCCCTGAGGGGAGCCCGTGCTGAGGGTGATGACATCAGAGGTGTTCTGACCGACCCGGACCGACTGAGGTCTGTTGGTGAGGAAGTCCAGCAGCCAGTTTCGAAGGGGTGTGTTGAAGCCCAGATGTTCCAGCTTTCCCACCAGGTGCTGTGGGATGATGGTGTTAAACGCTGAACTGAAGTCCAGGAACAGCATCCACACGTGGGTGTTCTTCTCCTCCAGGTGGGCCAGGCTCAGGTGAAGAGCAGAGGAGATGGCGTCCTCAGTGGAGCGGTTTCGCCGGTAGGCAAACTGGAACGGGTCGAGTGTTGGGGGGAGACTGGAGACGATGTGTTCCTTTACCAGCCTTTCAAAGCACTTCATCATGATGGGAGTCAGTGCGACGGGCCGGTAGTCGTTGTAGCAGGTGACTTGAGGTTTCTTTGGCACTGGGATGATGGAGGCAGACTTGAAGCATGCTGGCACTGTGGCTTGCTCCAGCGAGGTGTTAAAAATGTCCGTGAGGACACCAGCTAGCTGACCTGCACACTCCTTGAGCACCCGCCCAGGTATGTTGTCGGGACCTGGGGCCTTCCGCGGGTTGACCCTCCTCAGAGTCTTCCACACGTCGGCTGTGTCAAGGCAGAGAACCTCCTCTTCCTGATGTGGGACAGCCTTCACTGCTGGAGTGCGATTTAGTGCCTCAAACCTCCCAAAGAAGTTATTTAGTCCGTTTAGGAAGTCAGCATCAACTTCATCCACCGGGGCAGGGGGCGTGTTGTAGTCTGTGATCGCCCGTATGCCTTGCCACATGCTCCTGGTGTTGTTGGCGTCGTGGAACAGATGCTGGATTTTCTGGTTATGGTTCCGCTTTGCTAACCTGATGGCACGGTTCAGGGTGGCTCTAGCTGTCCTCAGTGCCTCCTTGTCACCAGACTTGAAGGCTGAGTTCCGTGCTTTTAGCGCGTGGCGGACCTCCTCAGTCATCCAGGGCCGTTGGTTGGCTCGGGTGGTGATGGTCTTTGTTGTGCTGACGTCCTCGATGCAGTGGTTGATGTAGGCTGAAACAGTCATGGCGTACTCATCAACATTGATCTTGTTGTCATATGTTGCTGCTGATTTGAACATGTCCCATTCAGAGCATTCAAAGCAGTCCTGGAGTGCATCCATGGCCCCCTCCGTCCAGACCCTCACCTGCTTCACTGTAGGTTTTGCTCTGATCAGCAGGGGTCTGTATGCAGGAATTAGCATCACAGAAAGGTGGTCTGAGGAGCCGATGTGGGGGCGGGGGGCTGCTCTGAATGCGTCTTTTATGTTTGTATAAACTAAGTCCAGAGTGTTCTCTCCACGAGTAGCAAAATCCACGTGTTGATAAAAATGAGGGAGAACAGTTTTCATATTCGCCTGATTAAAATCTCCAGCAATGATGAAAACGCCCTCTGTGTGTGTAGATTGCAGCTCAGAGACAGTCCGATAGAGAACACTCATGGCCTCCTTTGTATCAGCGCTGGGGGGGACATACACCGCTGTGATGGTAACAACAGTGAACTCTCTGGGCAGGTAAAAGGGTCTGCAGCTAACAGTCAGAAGCTCTATGTCCGGAGAGCAAAAACTTGTGACTATTCTAGCATTTTTACACCAGTTGTTATTGATGTAAACACAGAGTCCGCCTCCTCGGCTCTTACCGCTGAGTTCTTTGTTTCTGTCGGCGCGGAAAGTAGCTAGCCCCTCCAGGCTAATGCGTTGTCCGGGGTTGATGATGTGAGCCACGTCTCTGTCAGAATGAGAGCGCAACAGTCCCTAAACTCCCTCTTTGCTGAGAGCTCGGGTTGAAGATGGTCAGTTTTGTTATCCAGTGAACGTACGTTGGAGAGCAGGATGGATGGAAGCGATGGTCTGTGGGGGTTAGCCTTTAGCTTGGCTGCTAAACCTCCGCGACAGCCGCGTTTCCTCGGCCGGCTGCACCGCTTTCGCTTGGCTCTCCTCCAGCGTGAGCCGCTCGACGGGTCCGCTGCATCGCAGGCCTCCGGGGCTTGATCCCGGAGCACTCCGGAGTCACGTAAACAGTCGAGCGTAGTGGTGGTTACAAGTCCAAATACACTGCATGATCGTAACTCCAGCAGGCGCTGGCGGTCCAGTGATGATCTGCTAGGTAGATAAGCAGTTTGCAGCGGGTTTGGCGGTATATTTTTATGAAAATCTCCGCAAGTTGGTCGGAGCTGTATGCCAGCCGCTGCCGCCAGGGGCGCCGCCATTTTGAAAGCCAATTTTGAATTGCCAATAAAGCAAAAAAAAAACAAAAAAACATCATAGACGCGAGCTGTTCTCGCGAGTCCTTCCGTATAACAATGACCTCGTATGTGATTGGAGGAGCCTGACGAGCCTTCGACTGCTTGTCCAATCACGTGTGAGCTTATGGGCAAGCAGACATGTTTGTCAGAAGAACTTTATCTCCAGTCCCTTTGATTGGATTTTGCTGGTACATGATCAATGGCTGGACGACGTCTCGCGTTCAACTCGCCTTCAACTCCTCTTGGACGCGATCCACAACTTTCAGCCAGTCCGCAGACTGACGAGAAGAAACTGCTGATCGCTGTCAGTGGACTGACGAACTCAAAGAAGAGAAGCTAGCGGTAAATATATGTTCGATTACTGCTCGCTAAGCTAAAAGCAGCCTAGCTAGCTATGCTAAAAGCAGCCTAGCCTAAAGCTACGGCTAATAGTAGCCTTGCAAGAACAAGCTTTATTAAAGTGTATTTTTTGTGATTCACAGGAAGCAGTAGGCCGTCTTCACAACTCGGAGACAAATTGCAGGCGCTATGAACAGGAGCAAGGGTAAGATTTAAAGAATATGCTTTCATTCTGCGGTAAAAGCAAATAGATACGGATAGATACCGATCATAACTGTACATTTTGTTTTCACAGACTAATCTCGCCTCATAATGAGGCGGTGACCTCCTATTATTCATACCACTCTCATTTAATTGTTTTCCAGCTGCCTGTAAGATGTATTATGAGACGGTACGCAGGAGCTTCAGATATACGCAGCCAGAGAACACGTTGCGTGCGGAAGCTACCAAGCATTCAGCTCGGAGTCAAGCTAGAGGAAAGAGGTCAAGACTTTATTTGGTGACTATTTTTCAGGTGCATTGATAGATGTGTTGTGTCCATACGCAGTGCATCCCATCGCATAGTGCTGATTCATTTTTTTTTTTTTTACAGCTGCTGGAATCGAGGGAGAGTGTGCTAGCTGATGAGGAAGTGGAACTCTGGAAGTCCGCCACCGTCAACCTCATGTCTGACGAAGAAGATGGCGTCGTTGGCGCATGGATTGTACGGCCGCCGTCATTTCGTAGGCCGGATCTCTCTGAACTCTGTGATAAGCTGCAGTCCCGGTTAGAGGCGACGCCGAAGTACAGAGCCACGCACAGTAGGCGTCTGCACATCGGACCTGCCTTGGAGAGAATGTTGCCAGTTACCTCCAACCCCGAGGAGGCAAACGGACAGTTGACGGAGTTATAATTTTTGGATACGCATGTGTGGGCAGATCCTCGCGTTGTATATAGTTGTGTTTGTTTTAATAAAGCTCTTTCTTTGCATAAACATCTTCCTGGCAAATGTTCATTTCCTGTATAAATTCATTCATGTCCTTGATGTTAGCCTAATAATAGTGTAGTAGTGTAGGATAACATAAATATACAGCATATGAATAAATAAATATATGAATAAATAAATATATATATATATATATATATATATATATATATATATATATATATATATATATATATATATATATATATATATATATATATATATATATATATATATATTTATATATATATATATATATACCGTAAATTCTCTAATATAGGCCCGGGCCTTTATTTCACTCAAGTGCATCGCGGTCCAGGCCTTTATTGGATAGAGGCCAGTATTAGAGACAGGCCTCTATTGCTATTTGAGCAAAACAGACTACCAGTGGAATGAATAAAAATGAGATTTTGTGTCTATTTGAACCTATAAAACACTAGGTTCATTTATTGAAAAAGTACAGTTACCATGTCTCGCTTGGTTTGAAGTAAAAAAAATATATGAAAATCCTCCAATTCTGTTTAATTCTCCTCCTCAGTTTCCTCCTCCTCTTCATCTCTCCCTTTAATCTCCTCATCACTCGCGCTGCTCCTCCTGTTCTGCTGCGTGTCTGTTCTCTTCCTCGCGCAGACGGGCAGCAGCAGGGCTTGTCGTCCAGCTGCGCAGGGCTGTGGTACTTGTATGTTACTTACTACCACAAGTATAATGTTGAGGTATGCCCAGAAAAAACGTTTATAGCCCCGGCCTGTATTAGAGACCGGCCATTATTTACCTCCTCTGACAGCGAGACCGGCCATTATTAGAGACCCGGCCGCTATTGGAATACAGGCCAATATTAGAGAATTTACGGTATATGAATGAATAAATATATGAATGAATAAATATATATAAATATATATATGTAAATTTATATGTAAATATATATATATGCCAACCAATCACGAGCGACTTTACTTGTTTAAAAAGAAGTGGTTCCGTCCAATACTCAGTAAGAAAATTAAAGCCTGGCGTGGCCACGTGTGGCCAGCATTCATATGCTAATTAGGGCCATTAGTACAGCTGATTGCTCTCCCCATACGTCAGAGTCTGTTTCCGACAATTTGTGGCACGACAAACGGCGACAAGCGCGGGTTGCAAATTGTCGTTAACTGACGAAAATCAGGGAGATCTGCGGGAGTTTACGGGGACGAAAATCTCACTTTTCATGCAGTGAGATATCGAGTTTTCATTGGACAGTCTTCCATGATACCTCACTATCCAACACTGCATCTTAGGCACCTTTACAGCTAACTGGCGGGGTGACTTTAAATGTTACCTTGCTGATATAAAACATATCTGCCCCCTGTTTTACTTTTAGAAATTCTAGGAACCAATAGTAAACCTGCAGATTGAAAGCAAAGTGCTCTGTTAGGAAAATAAGGAACAATCAGATCTCTGATAAGGCTTTATATGTGAGAAGGAGGATTTTAAATTCTATTCTGGATCTATGAGGAAGCCAATGAAAAGAGGCTAGGATAGGAGAGATATGATCTCTCTTTTTATTTTTCATCAGAACTCTGGCTGCAGACATGTCTTGGACACACGTGTGAAGAGAGGGGCGGCGCTCTCCACTGACCACTACCTGGTGGTGAGTTGGCTCCGATGTCAGGGGAGGATGTTGGTCAGACATGGTATGCCCAAACGTATTGTGAGGGTCTGGAAAGGAGGGTCCGTCGGATAGTCAGATCTCGGATTCAGGAGGAGCAGAGTGGTTTTTGTCCTGGCCGTGGAACACTGGATCAGCTCTACACCCTCAGCAGGATTCTGGAGGGTGCATGGGAGTTTACCCAACCAGTGTACATGTGTTTTGTGGATCTGGAGAAGGCATTCGACCATGTCCCTCGGGGGGTCCAGTGGGGGGTAATCCAGGAGTATGGAGCACCGGGCCCTTTATTAAGTGCTGTTAGGTCTCTGGACGACCAATGTCAGAGCCTGGTCTGCATTGCCGGCAGTAAGTCGGAATCCTTTCCGGTGAGGGTTGGACTCCACCAAGGTTGCCCTTTGTCACCGATTCTGTTCATAACTTTTATGGGCAGAATTTGTAGATGCAGCCAAGGTGTTTAGGGGATCTGTTTTGGTTGCCTTCGGATTCCATCTCTGTTATATGCAGATGATGTGGTTCTATTGGCTTCATCAGGGCGTGATCTACAGCTCTCACTGGAGCGGTTTGCAGCCGAGTGCGAAGCGGCCGGGATGAGGATCAGTGCCTCCAAATCCAAGACCATGGTCTTCAGCCGGAAAAGGGTAGAGTACTTTCTACGGGTTGGGGAGGATGTACTGCCCCTAATGGAGGAGTCTAAGTATCTCGAGTCTTGTTCTCGAATGAGGGGAAGATGGAACAGGAGATCGATAGCCAGTTTGGTGCATTGTGTGCTGTGAAATGTGCACTTTACTGGTCGGTTGTGGTGAAGAGAGAACTGAACCAAAAAGCAAAGCTCTCGATTTATGGGTTGATTTATATTCCTACCCTCATCTATGGTCAAAAGAACAAGATCCCGGATACAAGCAGCTGAATTAAGTTTTCTCTTTAGAGTGTCTGCGCTCTCCCTTAGAGATAGGGTGAGGAGCTCAGTCATCTGGGGAGGACTCAGAGTAAGAGCCGCTGCTCCTCCACATCGAGAGGAGCCGGTTGAGGTGGCCTCCCTACTGAAGCTGCTACCCCCGCGCCCCGACCCTGGATAAGCGGAAGAAGATGGATGGATGGATGGATGGATGGATGGATGGATGGATCGATCGATCGATCTGGCTGCAGCATTTTGGACCAGCTGAAGACTTTTAACTACAGTTAATGGAGGTTCTGGTAAGACAACGATAGAATAGTCCAGCCTTGAAGCAACAATGTTATTCTTGTTACAGTAGAAATTTCATATGACATGTTGACATTTATTAGCTTGACTGAATGTGTATATATATATGTGTAAGGTTGCCTGGAACAATAACAGTCCAACCCTGGTTTAGGTCTTCGGCTGGAATGCCATCAGGTGTAATAACCCAGTGAAGAAAGATAATTCTTTGTTTCCATGTGTTCACCATACCATACCATACCATACCAACTTTATTTATGAAGCACTTTATACACCGAACAGGACCAAAGTGCTGTACACAATCATAAAATACAATAAAATTATAAAATAGAGAAAAAAACGAGTGTAAAATACATATTAGTATACAAAAAGAATAAAACAAAGCAAAACCTCTCAAATTGTGCCAAAAGCCAAGGAAAAAAGATGAGTCTTAAGAAGGGACTTAAAAACAGCAAGAGAAGAGGCATGTCTTATGCTCAGAGGCAGATCATTCCACAGCTTAGGAGCTGCCACAGAAAAAGCACGGTCTCCTCTGAGCTTGCATTTTGTCTTTGGGACCCTCAGAAGCAACTGATCAGCTGACCTGAGGGAACGGGAGGGTGTATAAGAATGTAACAGCTCAGACAGATAAGAAGGAGCAAGGCCATTAAGAATTTTAAAAACAAATAAAAGAATTTTAAAATTAATCCTAAAATGTACTGGCAGCCAGTGTAAGGAAGCTAAAACAGGGGAAATGTGGTCGAATTTTCGTGTACCTGTTAAAAGACGTGCATCAGCATTTTGAACCCTCTGAAGATGAGAAATATACAAGTCACTGACCCCTGTATAAAGTGAGTTACAGTAATCCAGCTGTGTGGTCACAAATGCATGGATCACTGTTTCGAAATGCTGTCTGGAAAGAATGGGTTTTACTTTTGCTAGCTGCCTTAAGTGGAAAAAGCTGGACTTTATAACGGCCCTGATGTGCGCTTCCATTTTAAGACCAGCATCCATCTTAACCCCTAAATTTGTAATAACCGGCTTAACGTACTGAGCCAAGGAGCCAAGACTGGTTACAGAATCAGCAGTGGATCTGCCAAAGATCATTACGTCCGTCTTGTCCTCATTGAGTTTTAAAAAATTTAGGGCCACCCAGGCCTTCACATCTTCAAGACATAAAAACAGAGACCGAAGAGAGGTGGAGTTTACATTCTTTAGCGGTAAGTATATCTGTGTGTCATCTGCATAGCAGTGAAAGGCAATCCCATGTTTTCTGAAAATAGAGCCGAGCGGAAGAAGGTAAAGTGAGAAAAGGAGCGGGCCTAGAACTGAGCCCTGTGGGACACCACACGACAGTGGAGCAGAGGGGGACCTATGGCCATCAAGACAGACACAAAAAGTACGTTCAGCCAAATATGATCTAAACCAATCTAGAGCTATGTGACCGACGCCCACCCACTGTTCCAGACGGGAAAGTAAAATGACATGATCAACTGTGTCAAAAGCAGATGATAAATCCAACAGCACCAAAACAACAACGTCACCTGAATCAGTTGCTAAAAGTATATCATTAAAAACTTTTAAAAGGGCTGACTCTGTGCTATGAAATGGTTTAAAACCGGACTGAAAAACCTCTAATATATTATGTTCATTAAGATAGGCCATTACCTTCTCAAGAATTTTTGAAATAAAAGGCAATTTAGAGATAGGTCGATAATTTGCCAGAACAGTGGGATCCAAAGCTGGTTTCTTAAGTACAGGCTGCAGAACTGCATGCTTCAGAGCTTTAGGAACAATGCCTGAGGACAAGCTACTATTTACAAGAGCAAGGACAGAAGGACCTATAGCAGAGAAAGCTTCTTTAAATGATTGGGGCGAAATAACATCATCTGGAGAACCAGTTGGCCTTAAGGGATTAACCACCTCCTGCAATAATTGCAAGTTCACACATTCAAAGCTGTGGAAAACACCAGAACAAGGCACCACAACTGAAGGATCATAAGAAGAGGGGATAATCTGGGCCCTAATAGAAGCAACTTTCTCATCAAAACAGTGTAAGAAGTTTTCACATGCAGCAGGTGAGGTCTCCATAAAGCCACTATGTGAATCATTTAGAACAGAGTTAATAATTTTAAATAGGATAGCAGGACTCTGACTATTTGATACAATCAAACCCGACAGGTTTTG